GTTTGCAAAGCTTAGCCAGTTCTGAAGGATACATTGTAAGAAAATTTATTAAAATTGTTTCAACAAAAATTTGCTATATTGTTTATAAATAAATTTATTAAAAATTATTTTATCTTTATATACATTGTTTATAAAATGTTATATACAATAGTGTTATCTTCTTTATATACATTGTTTTTGTTTAATTTTGTTTTACAGAGTGGAAATGATCGTACTGGGAGATCTAACAGGCTAGGATCTATATCATCATTATCATCTGAAGCACCTTCTATGTCAGTTAGAATAAAGTCTACAACTTCTGAAAATGGTGAACTAGATTATAAAAAATTGTATGAAGAATCTCAAGCAGAAAATGAAAGACTTAAAGAAAAGCTTAGGCGATCAGATGAACAATTAAAGGAAGCCAGAAATTTATTAGACAAAGCACAGAGTGCTCAAAATAAAATAGTCCTATCTGAAGCTGAAAAAAGAGAAAGGAGAGCAATGGAAAGGAAACTGTCAGAAATGGAAGAAGAATTGAAGGTAAGAATTAACATTTATCATTTTATATTTTAGATACTGTTTTATACATTGTTTTCTGGAAATAATATTCAGATATATTATGTATTAAGAAATCGCTTTAATTAAGAATTCATTTAGATCATTTTGATTTCGATTATGTATCATTATATTTCTACAAATTCATTATTATATATTCCTTAGTTAGAATGCACGTCACAACTTTTTAAAAATTACGTTTTGATTGGTATAACTAAATACAGAGGAAGGTGCCAGCATTTCTGGAGTGGTTAATTTGAGAGAAAATCAAAAAGTATAAGCAGCTTTTAATGCATTGCTTTTTTATTTATTTGCCATTTCTTGGTGCTTTTATTTTTAGTACTTCTTATCAAATAATCACGCTTATTATTTACGCAATATAATCATTTTCATTGGCACTTTGTACTTTTTTTTTAATTTATACTTGTGTGGTTTACATTATTTATACATCTGGCCAATACTTTAAAATGTTATATTAATATAATAAATTATGATAGAGTACATAGTATTGTCTGGTGGGGTTTTTACAAGACATGCGAATTTTAGGTTAATTGTTTCACTGTTTACAGCAATTACAAAAGCTCAAAGCTGAAAATGAGAGATTGAAAGCCGAAAATCGGGCACTTACCCGCGTCGTATCCAAACTCACCAATACTACTAAATAGGTAAAGGACATAATGACAGCATCTGCGTTAACAGTGTACATCGTATTTCACGTACAACATTAATTAATTAATTGATTACTTACGATTTTTACGTTCTGATCGCAATATTAAAACTTTGAAACGATGTCGCTCACTTACTTATCTTACAATACAGCTTCGCAAAATATACCACGCGTAATTTTGATTATTAAAATAGTTTCATGTTAAGAATCTATAACAGCTTATGGTACAAAAATTTAAAGCTTATATAAATTTTTTTAATAGAAATTATACTATTATTATGTAAAACTACGTTTTTCTCTATTCTACTAATACAATTTGATAATATGCATCTTCATTGATTTTTATACATATATTTTACATTTTTACATGTTTACAAAAATATCATTTAATAAAATTTACAAATATCTTGTTATTCTTAAGTCACGTTTATCAATACAATTATTAAATTAGTAGAAAGTAAAGTATAAAATAGTTACATTTCCTAAAATTGAAAAACGCAGTCTGTCCTTTGTTTTAGTTTTAAAAGAATTTTTTACCAATAATCTAACTAAGTTTAATGATATTAATAATTGATTAGTAAATTACATCTATAATTTGTTTATAATAACACTTAATAATCTCAAGTATTGCAAAATACGAAATTAAAATTTTGATGAAATATAAAATTTGTAAAATTATTATCTATTGAAAATAGACTATTTAAAAATTCCACTTTAATTTTTTTAAAACATATTACAAATATTTTTTATAATTTTCAAGTATTATTTTTAATCTATCTAAAATTATATATTAAAGAACAATAAGAAGAGATATTTAAATATTAATATAACTATAAACTTTTTTTTAAAAAAGCATGTTCAATATAAAGTCATATTTTATTGCACTATGTATTGTTTGATATTCACAATTCAATTACCTAATTTATATCATGCATATCATACTTTGTTTATCATATGATAGTAATTTTATTATAATAGGTTTTGTAAGATGCATGAAAAAACTGAATAATTCAAATATAGGATTTCACAGAGATAATAAAAAACTAATAATCTACGTTTATTCTATATTCCATGCATTATTATAAAAATATAACTTACTTTAAAAAAATCATAATAAAATTATTTAAATGTTACTTACAAATACAATGTGAACCTAAAGTGTGATTAAAAAACAGAAGAAAAAGATGAAAAATATCCATAAAAGAAACAAAAATATTGGGGTGTATATTAAAAAATGCAATAATTATTTTTGTTTTCATTTTTATTTATGCACATATTCATAAAACTTAAAATTATATTGAAAACATATGTGCATAAATTTTAAAAATGGTTTATAACTGTTAATGGAATATATTTCAATATTTTCGTTTAATTACACTTTTTTTATTATATGTGTACAATTTTTGTATAGTATTAAAATTTACCTGCTTGTTACATATCATATACACTACTCCTTTGATTTTATTGCACCTAATTGTTATATTGTTTTAATTCTAAAAACTCTAGTTGCAACAATATTTGCTTGTTTCCTTATTTTTAAGTTGTTACTTTCCTTTTTTTTTTATGTTTATTTTGTGAGTATTTATTTGATCCACTCTACAATGGCATTGCCTTTTGTATTTCTTTTGTTCTTTTGTTTTTTTCTTTCTTTTCCTCTTTTTTCTCTTTTTTCCTCTTTCTTTTTGTATAGTAAGTAATATAATTAAAAATGGTATAAACTAGATTTACATTCTTCTTTTCTAGGTGATGGACCAATTGAAATGTGAAAACCAGAGGCTAAAAGATGAAAATGGTGCCTTGATAAGAGTAATCAGCAAATTGTCCAAATAACTCCAATGGTCTTAAAAGAAGGCTGTATAGCGTTTCTTATATTGCATTACAATTGCATTGAATGAATTGTTTTAGCTCTAAAGTATCATGATCATTATTGCTAGTATTCTTATAATGTATATTATATCATCACATTACTGATGAATTTATTCTTAATGCTAGTAATTTAATTTATTATCAAACAAATTACTCGCGTGGCTGTGCCAAGAGCGAAGAGAGACATTGCTCCTATTCTTAGAATTGTGAATAGTTGACTATAAAGGATTTAGAATTTTTACTTTCTCACATTTAACTCTTCCTGTTGAAGATAAATTTCATGGTTCATTTTAGAGCCGGCGCTTTGTCAAGCAAGATGTACTTCGTTCAAATTGATGAAAAACAAATGTTCTTTATGACAATTTTTTTTAAAGAACTCACGTTATTAATGTTGACTCTTTATAAGGACATTTTGTAAATATGTAATAGGTAATAATAACGTGGCATTTTAGAATTAAATAAGAAAAATTTTTTACTTTCAAAAAATACATAAAAAATATATATCAAATTTATTGTATAAACTTGTTTCCATAATTGTAATGCAGGCGAATACACTCGTAACGTATTACAAAATTAAGTAGAACAATAAAAAAAAAGTGAATTAAGATAATGATTTTCATGCTATTCAAGTGGCCTTTCCTGGAAGATTGCAATTTATAATCCTTCCACCATTGCCATTTTTTACAGAAAGCAGAAAATTCATGCTCTAAATAATATATGTTTTAATATTATTTTACAATTCATTGTTAATGAAATACAATTGAAGCAACTGCAATTTTTTAATACATGAAAACTGTTGAAGGTAATATAGTTTCTAATAACTGGTACCAACGATGGAGACTGTGTTATTACATTTAATAACTAATTTAATGTATGCAACTGAAAGAAAATTTCTTACATTTTAAATAGAAATATTTGTAATGAAATTTTAATTTTGATAAAAATGATAAATTTATAGCTAATGAAGAAAGAACAAATGACAATGTATGGGTGACATGTTTTTTAACAATGTTATTGTAAAGAATTGTACAAAGATAAGTTGAAATAGTTATCTCATAATGACATTTGTTACTAAATAACAATTCTGCGTAACTGTTTAGTATATAGATACTTCCATTATATTATACAATAGATATGTGCTTATTGTACTTGAAAAATGTTTGGATGAAATTAGCATCACAGTATACAATGCTCATTATTGTATAAATATAAAAAGAAAGTCCATTTGTACAATTTGTGATAAGTAGTTCAATCTTTATCAAATACTTTTATACTTGATTGAAATATTTAAAATTATGTATTTGTTATAAATATAATTCATTACACCTACAATGTATAAAATAATTCATTGTTTATACAATGCTAATTAATTCTCAAACAATCTCAATAATAATTTATAAATTTTTGTTTCTGTTTTAATGATTCACTTTGTATCTACACAGTATTTATAAAATTACATTCAATATTTCACGTGAATACGAAATGATTGAATCTTTACAAATTCATTTATTTGATAAAGATTGATTCTGTTATTATATCTTGCACGATTATAATAAACATGTCCCACCCTCAGGTATCATCTAGATGAAAGTCAGTAAAAATGCGGTCTGACGTTTTTGTGAAATATTTTATAATATAATTAACACTGTTAAAAATAAAATTTTGTGCTGGTTCAAATTAAATTTTAAAGTTACATAGGAGCCTGACAATCTCCAGTTTGTTAAACCAGAAATATTTATTTCTTATTTGGTTTTATATTTGTGATTGCAATTTATAAAAAATAAATGCTAGAAAAATTGCTTATATATTTTGTATGATATTTTTAATGTGAAGATGTGTAAATATGTTAAAAAAATAGACACATTTAATTATTTATAGAATTATTATTAAAAGGCTTATAATACAAAAATATCATTTAAATATTTTGAAATTAACTCAATAATTTTGTCATAATTTTTGAAATTTTAGCCATATTTGCATGTCCTTCAGTAAATATAACTACCTCGTGTAGAATTTTCTTAAATATCCTCGTATTTTTTTCCTTCTTCTTATATTTTCTTACCAACTGTGGATTTGCTTCGAGTACTCTCAAACATATCATCTCCAATTCCTTTTCATCTGATATTAGAAACCAATTATTTTCTTCAACAATCTGTATGAAGTGCAATATTATTAAAATTTATTTTTAACAACATTATTTTATATATTAAAATGTATAAAAATTAAAATAATTTAAATTCTTTTCACCTGTTTTGGCATTTTATTTTGCTCACTCGGTAATTTATTTAATAATTTTCTCAGTGTTAATTGATTTATTATTTCATTTTGCATTAAGTCTATCAACTCTTCAATATATTTCTGATTACTTACACTGAAAATCCAGATACATAAATATGTAAATATGTAAGTTTTTGTAATTCGTTATAATAAACTTACCAAAATGTGAGGTTTAAATCATGATCATCTAAAAATGGTAAAATTTCGGAAATTAACATTTGAGCTATCAATTGAGGCTTGCGATGTTTCCCATTATTTAAAATATTACGAAATAATAAATATAATTCCAAATTACTCTAAAAGTGGAAATTAATTAATACAAGTTTTAATGCTTTCATTGTTAAACACACCATTATTGCTATAAATGTATGAGATGCAAGTTTATCTTTTAATTGTTGATATATTTGTTGTGGCAATTCTGGTAGATGCTCTTTTAAGAATGGAACATTAATTAGATTATACTTATTTTCCATATTTTTATTTGTATGCAAATATAAGGGGGGCAAATTTGGTTCAGGCATAAAACGATAATCCTAAAAAATAATAAATATAAAATGTTTCTTATACCAAAAATTATTATAACGATAAAGTAAATATAAACTGCTATGGTGTGCAATTACGTGTTTTCCTTCTTTTTCACGCAGAAGAATTGTTTTTTTGTCTATTGGATTCCATGCACGAGTCTCATTAGTGATTTGACCTCCTGTTTCTATAATTGAAATTTGTCTCTTTATTTCGTATTCTATAGCATGGTTAACAGCACTTATGCTTCCAATATTTTTTAATTCAGTACGAACACCTAAAGGTGCATTAGGTTTACTTATAGAAACATTTGCATCAACCCTTAATGCACCTTCTGTAAATACAGAATAATTCGTTTATTTATTTATAATTAATAATTATTTATAGATAAATATTGTATAAATAAAGCAACCTTCCATTTTACATGAACATGTGCCTAGCAATTGTAAAATAAAGCACAGTTCTTTTACAAGAGCTGCTGCCTCTTCTCCATTTGTTAAGTCTGGCTCAAAAACTAATTCCATTAAAGGTATTCCAGCTCGATTAAGATCAATGTAACTTCTATCGCAGATAAAACAAGGCAGTATGTAATTTAGTTCTCAGAGCATTTATTACAAAAAGAAAATAGGATTAATAATACCTTCCAATATCTTCATTATGAAGACTTCTTCCACTATCTTGTTCCAGCTGTATTTGTTTAATTTTTGATAACTTAAAATAAGGTTCTTTGTGAATGTCAGGTTTAAATATAATAAATTTAATTTCTCCATTAACAGCTAAAGGCTTTCTTTGTTGTGTTATTTGAAATCCTGCCTATATAAAAAATTTATAATAAAATATTTATAAATAAAAGTCTAAATTATATATTATATCTTACTGCAGCCTACATTTAAGAATTATATTTTAAATAATGAAGTTATTACAAAATTTATATTTACAGGTAAATCAGAATAAAAATAATGCTTTCTCTCAAACATTGAAACAGCATTTATTTCACAGGAAAGAGCCAAAGCAGTTAACACTCCAGCCTCTACACATTTTTTATTTAAAACCTATAAAAACAATACAATAAAGAATTACTGAATTATTTAAAAAAAAAAATATTTGTTATACTTTACTGGCATTGTTCCTGGTATTGCACAATCGAAAAGTGATACACAAGAATTAATTGGGCAATTAAAATCTGTAGAAGCCTTGGAAAATAATTTTGATTTTGTTGATATTTGTGCATGTACTTCCAAACCTATTGTAGGTTTCCATTGTATTCTACACAAAAATGTTATTATTTCTTTACGTTAGTATTCATAATATAATATATGTTTTGAGATATTTTTCTTAAAGGATTTTTTAGTATACTCACTGACTTGCAGAAGTAAATTGTACACAACATTTCTTATATGTAGTTTTATAATAGATTTTTATAAAACTACCAGTTCTTTTGCACGAAAACATTTCTAAAATTTATTACACAAACAAAAAGTAGAGCATGTTCCTTTACACTCAAAAATATATGTGTAATAAATAATTAAACAAAATAAATTTGTATGATATAAAAATATCATAATACATATACTTTTTGTAAGTCTTAATCTAACATTTTAATTTACATAAAAACATTATTTATTTAGTAATTCATATTTAAACTAAGAAAAATAAAATTAATTTCCCTTTTGTTGATTATTGTATATGTATGTTCAACAAAATCTTATTACCATAAATATTTTTTCTATTTAAGTACATAGTACATGAAATCAAAAAACGATAAACATTTCTTGAATATCATATTATAAATATCAATATATAAAAATTTTAATTTATAATATATACAGTTTTATACTTTATATTAAAAAAATAAATTATATTTAGATTAAAAATTTATACTACTTAAATAATGAATAAATGAAATAAGAAATAAATAAAAGGTGCAAAATATTAAAGTAGTAAAAGCTTACAATGTGTAATTTCTCAAACTAATTTTTTATAATTCTTTCAAAACATATTTTTAATTACGAATTCATATATTTTGTATTACTTTACAAATCTTTATTTTTAACAAATATTATAAATGTAAAAGAGATTACTCAAAAACACAATACATACTATTGTGGCGCTATCATATGGCAATATAGAGAATTTGAAATCAGAAATATCAATCAATACACGTCCATACTCATTTTTCATCATATCATGATATATGTTTAAACGATGTATTTGTAGAATAACATTTTAAAAGTAGTAAGGAAATAGTTATAAATTAAATCTTATAAAAATAATAAACAATAAGTTATAAATAAAGGTGTAACTATTCTACATTAGAAATAGACATAAAATTCCATATTTATCGTTCTATAATACTAAAATTTAAGGTATGTAATTTTAAGTTATCATATTTTTACCATTTTATTACTCTTTTTATTGGTATTAAAAAGTTAAATATTTTGATATTATATTAATCATTTGTAATTAAGTTTAAAACATATTGATCTTAACAATATATATTTTAACCTTTAAAAAATAAATCTAACAATTATCTGTTTAATTATAATATAACTATACTTTAAGAATGATAAAAAAGTATATATTGTTCAATAAATTAATAAATATTTACTTGTAAATTTATATGAATAATTAAATTATATTAAATTACAGATGACAAAACTAATGGAATGGCTTTTATTTGCTGCTTTATTTTTTAGTATATGGATTGCTGCAATTACTGAAAGTGCCAATTTACCCTTTATCACTAAATGGAAACAAATTATTCTTTTTCTTCCACTTATTGCTTTATTTCTATGTAGTTTATATGCAGCTATTACTATTTTATATAGAGTTTTTACATTTAACAATTGTGAAAATGCAGCCATTGAATTACAGGAAGTAAGTTTAAAATTGAACATGATTCATTTTATTAAAATTAATGTATACAAATTTATAAACAAGTATATAATACAGTTTTTCTTTTATATTTATTTTAGCAAATAGAGGAAGCTAAAAAAGACCTTCAGAATAAAGGTGTGGTTTTGAAGACTTTAACTTTTAAAAGACAAACAAATTGACACTTTTCATATAATCTGAAACAAATAATACAGTGATATATAATCTTTCTGTTTATATAGGTTATATTTGTACATACTTTTTATAAGAAAAAAGAATTTAAATTATAGAAATTTAAAAACTATAACAAACGAATATTTTTTTTATAAATAATGTTAGAGTCATATATATTACCAAGCTCTGTGCTTATTGAATAAGTAATAATAAATACCCATAGTAGCTACTTATTAATGTTTATTAAATTGTAATGAATTTATTTAGTATAAGTAAAATTTCATAACAAAATTATGATCTTGTTCAATAATATTTTTATTTGCAATGCATTATGTTTTGTAGTAATTAATATATTATAAATGTTAATTAAGATATTTCCATGACATAAGTCATATATTTTAATTCTTCATAACAGAGAAATCTTCAAGACAATTCTCAATTGTTATTGCATTGTAATAAATATTCTACCTTATAATAAAACATCAAAATATAGTTTATGTAGATTTGTATGTCAATACATACATAAGCATATAGTATAAAATGAAACTACCTTTTAATCTTCAAAATATAAATGATCCTTAATTATACTTATACATACCAAAACAGGGAAACTAATGTATCCATTTGTGCCTAGACTCATCATTTTTATTTATTAAATATGCAATTTTGCAATATTATTTGTTTTACATTGTGCTATATTTCTAATAAAATTTTAATATCAGTACTAGTATCTTAAAAATTCGAACGATTCCTAATCAGTTACATATTAATATGTTAAGGCTACAACATATTGAATGCATTTTTATAATATTAATAATCTCATTGCCTTCACTTTTATAGAAAGTTAATTACAAATTTTCTTTATAGATTCATACTTCTTGTAAGTCACCTTGTGTTTATTTATTTAAGATATTTCATGTACGATTATTTCTTATTAACTAGTCATAAGTTACTCGAGTTTTTCTCAGATGAAAAATGGATTGATATCAAGGTCAAAGCAAATTTAAAACAATATATGTGTATATGTTACTTGAATTTTCATTTTTTTTCACTTGAGAATTTCTTACATTTCGTTATTTCGTGACAAATGAAATGATATATAATGTGTTATTAATGAATAACTATCTTCACCACTTTTGTTTAAAAAATACAAGACTTTTTTATACATACATACATAGGCGCAAGTTATATGCAAGTACACACATATATACATATGCAATCATACATATACGGATGCACTTACATAATTTTTATATTAGAAAGCCTATCAAATGTACAAAATATGCTTTTCATATACATACATATGTTTTGAATACACATATATCCTTACTCGTGTATACAAATTTATATGTATGTGTAATTGTACAATAGCTTTAACATATAAATACAACAAAGTATTTATATTTTTGTATATTAATTCATTAAACAAGCAGGCTTTCTTATATAAAAATGTAATTACACTGTTCCATATATTCAAAAAACAAGAAGTTTCGCCAAAGAGTAATTTTCAGACTGTAAGGATGGATTATAACACTTGTGCAAAATATCAAATTTCAATTTTAAAATAATGAAAACATTCAAATATATATATTTGGGAATAAACAATTTAAGACTACATAAAATTTGTCATAAATTATTTTGATATATAATTTTAATAAATTTTGTATCCTTTATCAAATATGCCAATATAAAATTAATACCTAACTAGAAAATTAATATAACATAAATATATATTTGCATACTTATATACAAAGAAAAAAATGACCAGTTGAAAATAACAAGATGTCTGTGTAATTACCCATCCTACATCAGTCCTTTAACTCCTTATTATGAAATCAATAAAGTGCGTTACTTCAGTCATCAAGATTTTGTGATAACAAAAAGTTAGCAGCAAGATTTTCATTTTTTTCACACGCAAAATATGCTTGTACAACTAAATGCTCCGGAAATCCTAGTGCCTGCAGCCTCTCAATAGCTTCTCTATCCTGAGGTGTTACCTGAATTATAGAAGGTTCTACATCCGATCCTGTTCCTATACCTGCACCAAGTCCTCCACTTATACCACCAGGAGCAGTTGCTGGTGCAACAGTAGATGCAGATACAGGTATAGTCCTTCCTCCTGTGCCACCAGTAGTTTCCACTACTCCAAAATACATAACATAAGTATATTCATAAGAAAAAAGAAAAGAAAATGAAGACTACGTTTATTTTAATAATAGACAATAGGAACTAACCAGGTTCATTAAGCATTCGCACAAATGCTTCTTGATTTTGTGAAATAAGTTGTAATAATGCAGGATTGGTTTGACCAATTTGTTGTAGTACAGCATTTAATAATTGAGGATTTTGCTGAATAACTTGACGCATTTGTTGAAATTGAGGTTGCATTCGCAAAAATGCTAGTGGATGTTGACCATGATCATGAAGTTGTTCTTGTGCCTCAAGTTGATCTTCTGGTAAATCTTCAAGAAGCTGAGCTGGTATTCCTGTTAAGAGGTATTCAACAGCCCTATCAGGATTATTAAAACTTGCTCTTAACGCTTGTTCAACTTGTTCACGTTCATACCTAATATAAATATATGATATTAAGTAAATAAAACATAAATCAAACAAGTAGTTCAATAATTATAACTTTTTTCTTTTAATAAATATCTACCCCATATCCACAATGTTGTTCACCATAGTATTATAATCTTCACCCATTAACATGGCACTTTCTGCTTGTCCTCCAACACATGCAACAGTAGTACTTGCTTCTGACTGTTCTTGTACAGTATTACCAGGGTTTGATGCACCCTGAGTAGTAGGATTTGAACTAGCTTGTACTACTGAGCTATGGCAGACAACATATATCACAGATAAATTAAAATAGTATGATTAAAACAAAATTATTAATATATATTGTTTTTGATAAATTAATTGAAAAAATTAAATTATAGAATAGTCCTTAATTATTAATGAACAAAATTATTATAGAATATTTACATGATCGAAGCTGAAATATATCTTATATATACTTCTTATAATACTTCAAATTAATACCTGGTTGTACTACTTTCTTCTTTATTATCTGCACTTGTATGTTCTTCTTCAGTTGTATGATCATTACCACTTTTAAGTTTTGTTACCAAAACAACTATAAACTTATTTTCATCTATATTATATTCTGCTAATGGATGATCATCTATTAATATTTTTCCTGTAAAAATAATGTTGTATTACTACATAACTATCATTATATGATAATAATAACACATATACAAATGAAAATAATTCTAATGAGTCATCATTTTTTAAATTCGGATCTTTGTAAATGAAAATTATTAAAATATATTCAGCTAAAAAATGGATCGAGTTACAAGTACGTAAAAATAATAATACATTTACAATTAAGTGAAAATAAGGTTATGTAAGCCATATCGCTTACCAGCATATATTAACCTCTGATGTTTAACAGGATAACCTCTTATAGTCTCGATCTTTTGTTTCAAATCTTTTACCTGCAAAAAGTATACTTAAAATTTATTATACTTGAGAAAGCTACATATTTTTACATTTGCTATATGCACTTACTGTTTCCGATGGATCAATTTCTATTATAAACATCTGCTGCTTCAAGGTTTTTACTGTTATAATCATATTGTAGGATGTAGAATTAGTAATATGTCGTCGGTTGATAAAGAAAACTTTGCAGGATCTGGTGTAATAAGGGTATAAAGATGTTTTGGTAAAGATCTTTTCAGCGATGAGTCGGCACTGCTTAAAGCAACTTACAAATGCTTAACTCAGGGTAGTATGCAGCTGAAAACATATGATGATATAAAGCAGTATTTTCAATGATGAACAATGGAATGCGTAAGGTATGTACTAAAATAAGACTACATCAGTTCAAGTTAATATATAATTATTACTAATTATCATTAAATTAATTACAAATTAATACATGTAAAAATATTTTTGCTTATTATTAATCAATATTTGAATCAATATTTCGCACTTATACATTATTATATTTAATTAACCTTAGCAAAGAAAATTATATAAACAAAAATGTGAAAATATAAAATACAAGTGATACACTTATAAATTAATAGCAAAATAATTATAATTTTGATAATTTTAAATTTTGCTTTCTAAAGTATTATATACCTTTATATATTTTATTTTTATAAATACATGTACTTGGGTACATAAATAGACATTATTGTGATTTTTTTATTTATATATCTATACATTTGTGAGTGACTAGAGTAAAACTAAAAATATTTTACAATAAGTTATAATTTAAAAATATATTATGTAATAATTCATTGCACATTGAATGAAATTTTAAAATGTATTAAGATACACAAAATTATATTGTTTTTACTTCAATGTTCTATGTAAAAGACACCTTTTTATTAATAATTTTTATAAAATGTTAGATGTAACAGTAATTTTATCTTTAGAAATTATATATATGGCTATTATTTGTAACTTCTAATTAGATTAACCATTCAACAAAATGAAACTTGTTAAATTTTCAAATTGACAAAAATTTGTATATTTTGTTTTCCAGTATCTTTACATTGTCCTTTAACAATTTATCCTTTGAATATCTCAATACATGTACATGAAAAATATATAAATAATCATAATCTTAATTATGTCTTTGCATTATAATTATATATATTTTATTATGTATAAATACTGTGTTGTATTTATATATTTACTTATTATATTCATCATATATAGTTACACAATAATAAAGAATTAAAATATTCCTTCTATAAAATAATCATTAAGAATAACACAAAACATACATTAGTGTAGCTAATAGAAAAAAATATGAATTTTTGATTCATTAATAAACAGTTTTAAAAATTTTTAAGACACAAACTAAATTAAGATTTTTTCAATAGCATGAATTTTGTATAAATTTAATTAAATGGTTCTATATTAACACTTACAAATTAAATGCAGAATATCCAGAATGTTCCTCAATTTCTATAATGATTTATATAATTATTCTTGGTATGGTGTATTTGGAGTCACATTAATCATCCCTGTTACACTAAAAAATATATAACTGAATTATCTAACGAAATGACAAAATTAAGGACACATTATTAATATAGAATTGTCATAATATTTAACAAATTTTTAGCTTATTTCTATAAAAGAGGCAAAACAATTCAACAAATCAATACAAACGAAATATTCTGATTAATATCTTCTACAACTTAACAGAATATCTGGTACAACATGATGAATGTTCTACATCTTACCTCCTAAACAATTACATGCTATGTATATTTCTAGTCACCTTTATGTATTATATTTAAATATAAACATTTAATATATTAAATAAAAGCCTGATTTCATTGAAATAATTAGATATGTATAATAACACACAACAAAATGCATATAGAAAATGATACTGTGGTATTATTCAATTTTAATTTTATATTACTTTTAAATAACATGACACTAATAAACATATTATGCAATGTATAAAGCATGTTCATGTTTATACAATACATATCTATGTGTAAAGCATATTACATTTATGAAGCAGATCATATAAAGACACAAATAATATAAATTATTAGTAAAAATATAAATCACTCATAGTTATACAGATATTTTAAAAATTAAAAATAAAAGACAAAATCTAATACATAACTACATGCACAAAATTATCCTAAACTGAAACTTACATCTATAAAATATAACTTAGGTACAACAAATATCCACAATAAATTAACAAAATTTGATATTTAACAAATAGTCATCAAGCCATGTTACATATAAGACAATATTACTAACATTCTTGCAGAATAGACATAACACAATATCACAAACACTTACAAGAACAATTATGGTGCCCTAAGCATACTTTGTTGCAGTCATCTTTACATTAGTTTGCTGTATAACATACATTATATAAAGTTACATAAGTTTATTATCAAACTTAAATTCAAAGGATATGATACTATGGATATTAATTCAAAATTAGTTATAAAAAGGTTTTGTTTTGTAAAAAAATATTCTTAACTTTTGAATTTATAACTATATTTAAAATAATATAATTTAAATTTATGTAATTTGTAAAACTGTTAAAATCTTATTATATTATAATAATTAATAGATGTACTTACTATCAAGCTAACTGATTAATCACAAACTACTTTTGCAAAAAAGGATAATATATAGTCAACTTAATTTGTACGTTTTTATATTTGTACACAAATATTTCATTAACTTTTAAAAATAACTTGATAGCAAATGCAATAATATGATGAATACAGGTGACAAAAAGATATATTCTCTTTTTAATTTATTATATAACATTTTTAGTAAAAAAGATTTATTTTTTAAGCAACTGCATTTTTTAAATGTTTTAAATTAAAGCCTCTTTTAAGCATAACACCATTTAGTAAATAAGTGAAGGAGGAAAATTATATAGTATATAAAATCAATTGTTACCTTTTGGAACATTTGATGTGTATTATTAATAATGTAATGCCTAACAACAAACAAATACATCCTACAACTATATAAGCAATACCAAGAAAGGGATTTTTTCCACCAAGAAGTGAGGTAGTGCTCAAAATCATTCTTTTTCTGCCATCAAAGGCAGACACAGGATATGCTACAAAAAAAATTAATATTAATTTATAAAATTACATTTAATTTGTAATTTATATTAATAATTTTTACTTACTATAGTTAACGGTAAGTGTATAATTTCCTGCTAATAAACCTTCAGTGAAACCATCTGCTGTATGATTTACTCTACGATAAAGTTTCCTAAAAGTAGGTAAAGCTGCAGTTCTCATCCAAACAATCAAATCTTCATTTTGAAAACCATTATTGCTTTCATTTTTTATATCTAAGTCATAAATATGTTTAGTCCAATTCTTTGGTTTTGTAAAATTTTGAAATACTTTTGTTAAATTACCCTCAGGATTTCTAAATTTAATGTTCTTATCTGAGGGCCAAGCTATACCAGTTTTTAATAATGGTACATCTATATCGTGTTTTATAGAATACAATTTTAATTCGTCACTAAATAATGAATTAGCAATAGCACCACATGGTACAATAGGTTTGTCTCCATCATAAGCAAATGGTTCACAATCTCCTGAGACAACATTACTTATTTTTCCTAATAATTGATTATCATCTCTTGATTTTACATATCGTCTATGATTCTGATAGAAGTTAGTCAAACCATAATACATGTAAATTTTTCCACTGAAATCAGATGGCAATGTAAAATTTAATTTACAATAGCAAGGTTGTGAATGATTTTGTGCTATGACATCTGCACATTTAATAGGCATTCCTTTTGCACGGAAAATGTTCGTAGAATTGCAGTCTGTATAATCTAAAATATATTCTTTGACTTGATCAGAAAAATAAAGTAATCCAACTCCAACTGGAATAAAAGCAATCCCGATTACAAAAAATGTTGGTAAGACAGTTCCAGCAGTAAGTATTGGTTGCCAAGCAGGTAAACGTTGTTGCTTAAATGCACTGTCTGTTGAAATAAAATATTTCCTTTTTATTATTATATCATTTATTACATCAGTGTACTATAAATATTTATATTAACTTATATATTACATATAAATTATTTATATTATAGCAAATAATAAACAGAAATTGAATGAACATTTAAATAATGCACACATGTAGATGAATATACAGACATGTACAACAGGAATTTTATATATTAATGTAGGTAATGTAGGTAATGTAGGTAATTATTTATTATTTCTATTACTGAATTAAATTAATTATAAGAATTTCGTATATGTACCAAATGTACTAATATAACCTAACAAAAAATTAACTTCTATATGATAAACTTACCCGAAGGTTTTTTTGTTTTAGGTAACGAACCAACTTCGCTGACAGAAGTCATAGTTTCTTATTAAGGTAATAATTTATTTTCTTATTAAATTTTAATAATTAAACACTGACATTTGTAAAATCTATCAGAATGTGAATTATTCGTAAACCATCTTCGACGATAAAGCATAGAACAGTAATGAATACGGGCAAACACGTTAAGAATTAAACACACTTATTCTAAATTAAATTTTGTTATTTTTGTTACTTATAAAAATATTTCTTCGATTAATTAACAGTTACTTATTATAATTTTAATTTCAAAATATTCATATATTTATTACAGATTTTTTTACATTTTTTATATTAAATGATGTTTTAGTTCTTTACAGTTTATTACTATTTCTTTCGTAAGCAACTTTTTTAGTTATGGTCATCCTGATCTAGGAAAAGAAAAGTTAATTAACGATACAATTAGATTAAAATTATTTCCTTTAATTATAGATAAATTAAAATTTGGAATATAGGAATTTATTTATTTCTTGGAAGTATGATTTTTTCTTTCTCCCGATATTTATTAACAAAGTAATACTTAAAATGGATATACAGTTAGTAGTTATATACATAATTATGATAGGAACATAAAAATAAAGCATAAGAAAAAATATACAAATAAAATTATACTAATACTTAGAATTATAAAAAAAAAAATACAATTTATTGTAAAAATAAAATGTAACTATATATCATAACTGTACAAGGGAATAAATGACACAGACTTGTAGAAACTCTAGAACTTTATTACTCATTTTTTTTTTAACTTCTCTCATTTCTGCTATGTTTGGGAGAAGTATGTTTAATTACCAAAATTGTGTTTTTAATTTTATTAACAAATGTAACTTGTAGAGTAAGTATTTATATATGACTATTGTGATTTAATGTTTAAATATGGAATTCTTTGTAACGATATTTATAATGTGCAATAACAAACATTCTTATGATAATGAATATTATTTGCACGTGACTCTTGCATAGCAGAGAATTGTTAGTTATTTTTTACTGACGTTTTAACCTGCAAAGGAAGCAAGGAAGTCAGTAACAACCTGTTTCAGTTTTGCATCCGAAGATTCACTAATTGTGTTATCTTTTGCAATGGTATTTAGGAGGTCTCGTTGAGAAGATCTGGAAGAATATAAAATTAAATAAATGCAAATAGCAAAATATATTATAATAATATATAATATAACTGTATGATGGTCCGAAGAGTACACATTACTGATCGGCTAAAGATTTCGAGGCGAAGGATAGAGGGGTAAAAGCCGATAACGTATACTCATATCTGACCTTAAATTTTATAAGTGTCCTATCTAAAATCGCATGGGTGAAAAAAGGGCGATGCCTTTTTCTCTGCATCCGCATCTTGAAGAATATAATCAAACCTATTGCAAATCTATTAACAAAGAGAAGATTTTACATAGAATACCCTATAAAAACTGAGGTCAGATATTAGTAAGCTTCATGTATTATTAAATACTCGATGGTTACTCCTCATTTCAACTATGTCTATATAGACAGATTTTTACGTATAATGTCGAAAGTTTTTCATTAATATTTTGAAACTATTAAATATCCGGAAGTAATATTGTACATTCATCATCTATTCCCTTTTTCCGCAAAATTTATTACAAATTAGCAATTTGTACTCTTTGGAACAACAACCCAATTTTAAATTAAATACCTAATGTGGGCCAAGAATTCTTTTTCAAAGGCAGTAATTTTTGTGGGTTCCATTTTATCAAGATATCCACGAACACCACAATAGATAACAGCTACTTGTTCTTCAATAGCCATAGGTACTAAATACATTAAATATTTTTTACTTTACTCATTATTTCATTACATTTTCTGTAATTTAAATTAATTATGCAAATTATAAATTATTACCATATTGTCCCTGTTTAAGAAGTTCTGTTAGTCTGACACCACGGTTAAGTAGTTGTTGAGTTGCAGCATCCAAATCAGAACCAAATTGTGCAAAAGCTGCTACTTCACGATATTGAGCCAATTCCAATTTCATAGAACCAGCAACCTATTAAATAAAATATAAAAATTATTTAAAAATATTATTTAATAAATGTATATGTAAACTTAATATAAAATATAATATAATATATTCAAGAATATATTATTTAATAATATTAGTGAACTTATAAACAGAAACATTCATCACCTGTTTCATGGCTTTAGTTTGAGCAGCAGAACCGACACGTGATACTGATAGACCAACATTAATTGCAGGTCGAATACCTTTATAAAACAATTCTGTTTCTAAGAAGATTTGACCATCAGTGATGGAAATGACGTTTGTGGGAATATAAGCTGACACATCACCAGCTTGTGTTTCAATAACAGGTAGAGCTGTTAATGAACCACCTCCCAAACTTTCATTCATTTTAGCCGCTCGTTCAAGAAGACGAGAATGAAGATAAAATACATCACCAGGGTAGGCTTCACGACCTGGTGGTCGCCTTAACAATAAAGACATCTGTCGATAGGCAACAGCTTGTTTCGATAAGTCATCGTAAATAATTAAAGCATGTTTTCCATTATCTCTGTAAAAAATCCATAAAACATTAACACGTTAGAAAATTAAAAAATCCGAAAATTGTTTTACATACCGGAAGAATTCTCCCATTGCACAACCAGAATATGGTGCCAAATATTGGAGAGGTGCAGCATCAGAAGCAGTTGCAGAAACAATGATAGTATAATTAATAGCTCCACTATCTGTTAAACGTTTTACTATTTGTGCAACAGTGGATCTTTTTTGACCAATAGCAACATAAATACAGTATAGTTTTTTCTTTTCATCTCCAGCATCATTAAATCGTTTCTGATTAATAATTGTATCAATGGCAAGAGCAGTTTTTCCAGTTTGTCTGTCTCCAATGATCAGTTCACGTTGACCACGACCAATAGGTACTAAAGAATCTACAGCTTTAATGCCAGTTTGCATGGGTTCCCTAACAGATACTCTTTAAAAAAGGAAAATATATATGTATAAATATAATGGAAAATAAAAAACAGAATTAAAAAATAATGAACATCCTGATAAAAGTAAATACCTAGGAATGATGCCAGGTGCTTTAGTACCAATACGAAATCTCAATTTACTGTTAAGTGGTCCTTTACCATCAATAGGATTACCTAATGCATCTACAACACGCCCCAGTAATTCTTCTCCAACCGGAACATCAACAATAGCTCCAGTACGTTTAACGATATCACCTTCCTTAATGTGTCTATCATTACCAAAGACGACAACACCAACATTATCTGGCTCCAAGTTCAGAGCCATACCTTTTAGTCCTGAACTAAATTCTACCATCTCATCTGCTTGAATATTTTTAAGACCATATACACGGGCAATACCATCACCAATACTGAGCACTCTACCTGTTTCTTCAACATTGGCCTATACATTATATAACAATTAATTAAAATTAGTATTATATATACATATTACTTTTTAAATATTAATAAAATTTATTAGCTTACCTTAGAAGTTGCACCAAGTATACGTTCTTCCAAAATGGAAGAAATTTCAGCAGAACGTCTACTACATGATACATGATATTTGCAAGAGGCTATACTAAACGGCCATTTGATCTATAACATAAATTTAAAACTTACTGTTATTATACTGTAGAAACATACTACTCAAATACATATTACATAACTTGATACTATTCTGTTTATGTAATCTACTGCATAGAGAAAAAAATTTGTGACATATACTCTAATCGTTATAACATTTCAATAAAAATTACTGTAATTAATAAAATATATTTAATTTTTTCAAAAATGAAAATTATGATAAGTAAAATATGGATCCGTGTGGTTGTCGCAAAGTAGAAAATGTCGGCATGTTCTACTTAGGTATTTTTCAAAAATAAATTACATAAAACATTATTTTTTTTATTACCTGAATTGTAGTGTTCGGCAATTGTCTCGCTATCGAAGAAGCTAAACGTAACGATAGAAGAGTCATTTTGGAATACTTCAAGTCCGATAACCGGACCACGGATCGTGAACGAAGAACGATTAAGACACGGACGAACCGCGAAACGTCTCACGTAGCCCCACTCTGCATTTGTACCGGCAGGAAGTCGATATCCATTGATCTGCGCATAACCTCGAACCCAGATACATGTACTAATCGTAAATCAAATTCTTCCATATTCAATAGTATATAAGAATGTATAATACAAGTTATATTCCAATAAATTTTTTTCGCGTGCATATTTAATTAATTAATCCCTAGTATATAATTCTTAATACAATGAATTTTGGGTTCGAGGTTATCTGCAATTATTTAATCTATCATAAACAATGGCGCCAAATTTTAGATTTAAAATACATATTATGCAATAGTCGTATGTTTATTATTAAAATAATATTACATTAGAATAATTATCGTTGCATTTACAAATATATAATTAGTATATATGTCGCTAATATTAACAATTAATGGATAATAATATTAAATATCCTTTCTACAATAATCTCATTTTTTTTTATAATAAAAAAATATATATATTCAATATTTCTAATGATTCCTGAATTTATTGAAAGCTTCGTAATATTTCTAAATGAAAAAGTAAATAGATTATTGCTTAATATTACATTGCTTAAATTCGATGATATAAGACTAACATAATATTGTAATAATTTAAAACCTTTCTTTAATAATAAATATTATTAATAAAAGTTAATATAAAAGTTTTATTTCAAAGCCTATAAAACAAACTGAATAACTTTAATACTTCTATGAAATATCATGTTCAGGTTAAGTTGATTAAATATGAAAGCATCATTGCACCGGCGCTAAAGTTTGTTATTGTTGTATTGTATTGATTATTGGTCGCAACTACTATTTGAACGATACATTAATATAGATTTATTGTATAAACAAATGAATAATTATAAAAAAAAAAGTGAAAAACATAAAAAACGTGTATTCATGCAGAAAAATCTCTATTACTTTGTTAATAATTGCACTTGCAGTGTAGTTTTTTTCCGAGGTCGATAGGTGACAGGACAGGTAATCTATTGTTTACACTTTATATTTTACAATATACGAATTATTTTAATAGAAAGACATGTTTTAGATAGAAGAAGAATTGATTTGTAACAACATTTATACAAAAATGATATCCTGTTTAGTAGAACCATATACCTTCTGTTAAGAAGTATCTAGTATTATACAAATAAAAATATGGATTCTGCCACTGAATCAGAACATATAGAAAAATTAATAAAAGAGGCTGAAAGTTTAAAAATACGTTTAGAAGATGAACGACAAAAATTGAATGATATTACTCGTAAATATTAATTTTTAATCTCTATTGTACTGTCATAAAAATTAGTAACAAATAAATTGCAGTAAAGTTATTGTTAATATTATTGTTTCAGTTGCTAGTGTAGCAGATAGGCTTGAAATAATTAGTTACATTAATGTAAAATCACGTCGTGTTTTAAAAGGTCATCAAGCAAAAGTTCTGTGTTCTGACTGGTCTCCAGATAAACGTCATATTGTATCTTCGTCACAGGTCAGAAAACATTTGAAAGCTTTTATCTAAACTTTTAAAATATTTTTTAACATAAAAGTTGTTTCAGAATGGTAAAATGATAATATGGGATGCTTTTACAACAAATAAAGAACATGCTCTTAATATGCCAACTATCTGGGTTATGGCTTGTGCTTATGCTCCAAGTGGAGCTCTGGTTGCTTGTGGGTAAGATATATTTCAATTTCATAAGATAGTGATAATCATTTCTTTAATATTTTATATGTTTTATTCATTTTTTTTTTTAGGGGATTAGATAATAAAATTACTGTATATCCTTTGAGTCAAGAAGATGAAGTATCAACTCGAAAAAAAACTGTTGTTACACATACATCATACATGTCTTGTTGTGTATTCCCTAACAGTGATCAACAAATATTAACGGGTAGTGGAGATAGCACCTGTGCTTTATGGGATGTAGAAAGTGGTCAACTATTACAAAGTTTTCTTGATCATTCAAGTGATGTAATGTCTATTGATTTAGCACCAAGTGAAACTGGTAACACATTTGTTTCTGGTAGTTGTGATAAAATGGTTTTAATATGGGATATGCGGACTGGTCAATGTGTTCAAAGTTTTGAAGGACATCAATCTGATGTTAACTCTGTATGTAAAAGTTTATTACTTTTGTTACTCACAAAAATTCAATATATTACAAGAATAAGCTAATATAATTATAAAAAAATGATTTGCATCATGTTATGTTGAGTTTAGGTAAAATTTCATCCAGGTGGTGATGCAGTGGCAACAGGTTCTGATGATGCAACTTGTCGTCTTTTCGATCTGCGTGCGGATAGAGAAATTGCTGTCTATGCGAAAGAAAGTATAATATTTGGAGCAAATGCAGTCGATTTAAGCGTTAGTGGACGTTTACTTTTTGCTGGTTACAATGATTACACTGTAAATATATGGGATACTCTAAAATGTCAACGAGTTGCGATTTTATATGGACATGAAAATCGTGTATCTTGTTTACGAGTTTCTCCAGATGGAACTGCTCTTTCTACTGGAAGTTGGGATTCAACTTTACGAGTTTGGGCTTAGTTTTAATAAAGTTGCATCTATTATTTTGTCACAGTGTTGAATAAAAATTAAAATTTTGTTTGTGTAGAATATAAATTTTTAAAATTGTATAATGACATTACATTTCATTTTTAGTTAAAACACATTAATTATTTTTAACTGATAGAGTACATAAAATATTGTAACATAAGAATATTGTTATAATTACTATACAGACATTGTAGATAATAGTGGAACTAAAAATTATAATTATCGCAATTATAACAATATGATGAATTAAAGTTAATAATTTTTAGGCTGGTCCTAATTTATAGAAAATTCTACAGATAATATACCTATTTAACCAAATACAGTATTATCTTGTATGAAACTTAATAAAAAATTAATTCGTGCATATTTTATATTATTTACCATTTTTTTATGTATTACTTAATTTAAATTACACAAAAACAAAATTATGATATGATATAAATTTTTCAATTAACTGGTCCCATACAAGGTTGGAGCGGCAAGTGCAGTGTATATCTATATATACATACGCACACAATACATATGTGTATATATGTATAGTACGCGAATGCCTGACGGTGCACTTTATGCACGTTAATAATTACCAGTGAAAAATATATCGCAAATTAGGTTCAACAAGTGGCATAAATTTACAAAACCAATCATATTTAAATAGAAAAGTAAAAATGCCTCAGTACTCGAGTATGTATCGAATAAGTTAAAATTTTAAAAGATCTAACCTTACATTTTTTTATTCAATTTTATACTTAATAACTTTTAGTATTTCAAATATAAAATATTTCGTTTTAGTTAAAGTAAAATGGGGAAAAGAACTCTTTCCTAATGTAGAAGTTAATACAGATGAAGAACCAATATTGTTCAAAGCACAACTTTTTGCATTGACAGGAGTGCAGCCAGAGAGGCAAAAAGTTATGTTAAAAGGAATGACGCTAAAGGATGATAATTGGGGAAATATCAAGTTAAAAAATGTAAGGAAATGGCATTAATGTTTTTAGTGATGATAAACATATTTCCCAATTAATTATAATCAAAAAATAGTACTTTTATTATTTTAATTTTATCATAGGGTATTACTGTATTAATGATGGGTTCTAAAGAAGAAGATGTGCCAGCAGAGCCCACTGAAAAACCATTATTCTTAGAAGATATGAATGAATCTGCATTAGCTACAGCTTTAGATTTACCAGCTGGTTTGACAAATTTAGGAAATACTTGTTATCTTAATGCAACTGTACAATGCCTAAAAACTGTCCCTGAGTTGAGAGATGCTTTAAAGAATTTTTCAGGGGGACTTGCAACTGCTGGTAGCTTGTCTCTTGTATCTGCACACAGTATAACTGCTGCGTTAAGAGATTTATATGACAGTATGGATAAAGGATCATCTTTGCCACCTGTCGTCCTTGTTCAAATGATGCATTTAGCATTTCCAAGATTTGCTGAAAAATCTGATCATGGTGGATTTCAGCAACAAGATGCTAATGAATGTTGGACTGAACTTATTAGAATGTTACAACAAAAATTACCAGCAAAGGTTATTAATTATATCAACATTATTTTAAGATAAATATAAATAATGTTATAAATATCATTTTATGTGTCAAATAAAAAATAGGAAAATCCTGTTACCTCAGAAAATAATGGACAAAGTTACAAACCCCGATCATTAATTGAACAATATTTTGGAGGAACATTTGATACTGAGTTAAAATGTATGGAATCTGAGGATGAATCTCCAACTAAAGGAAAAGAAGAGTTTTTACAATTGAGTTGTTTTATTTCAACAGAAGTTAAGTACATGCATTCTGGACTTAGAAATAAAATGCAGGAACAAATTACAAAAATGTCACCAACTCTTGGCAGAGATGCATTGTATACAAGAACGGTAAAAAATGTTATACAGTACAAAAAAATTTTACATTTGAATTATTAAATTATCTTTTAATAAAAATAATATATTTTACAGTCAAAAATTAGCAGATTACCAGCATATTTAACAATCCAATTTGTACGTTTTTATTATAAAGAGAAAGAAGCAATCAATGCAAAAATTCTCAAAGATGTTAAGTTTCCTCTTGAATTTGATGTTTTTGAATTATGTAGTAGTGAACTTCAAAGTAAACTTACACCAATGCGAGAAAAATTTAAAGAATATGAAGATCGTTTAGTAGAAGAATCACGTAATATAAAAGAAAGAAAGGAAAAAACAGAAAGTAAAAAGAAAGTCAAGCAAGAACCTTTTTGGTTTCCAGATGGTAATAAAGTTATATAAAAGTTAGAAATAAATGGAACATTAATATGTGCTTGTTATCATATATATATTGTTATAATTGCAGATATAGGATCAAACAACAGTGGTTATTATTCATTACAAGCAGTTCTAACACATAGAGGACGATCAAGTAGTAGTGGTCATTATGTAGCTTGGGTTAGACAAAAGAGTGATACATGGTTAAAATGTGATGATGAAAATGTCAGCGCAGTAACTAGTGAAGATGTATTAAAACTTAGCGGCGGTGGTGATTGGCATTGCGCATATGTTCTTTTATATGGCCCAAAAATTTTAGAAGTACCTGATACAGATGATACTGAGGATTCAAGTACTAAGTAATTCTTATGTAATCTACAAATTTCCATAAAGACTAAAACAACTGGAATAAAACTTCCATCTTGCATCTGTTAGACAAGTGCATTTTTTTTTTATACAGACGAATATCAATATAATTTCAATATTAAGGTACTATTGAATATTATTCATAAAATCAATTACAATTATTTCCTACTGAATTATAAAAATCTAATAATAATACATTACATATATAATTTTTGCATAATATGAATATAATGAGAACTGTACATTCATTGGTTCTATACGCTTAAAAACTATGGTGATAATGAATCTTTGAATTATATAAAAATAGGTAATTATTGTAAACCATTAAAGTGTTCTGTTATAACATTATAATAAAATTACAATTAAAATTAGAATTATCTTTGTTAATTTTTCAATATTCTTACATTGTTTTTGTCAATATTTAATTTTATTAGAAAAATATATTAAAAATATTACCTGACTGTATAATATGAATATATTTTGATGATATGCAATATCCTTTATGTAATATAATTCTTAGGATATATCATATATTATTATTTGATGCAAAAAGGAAGAAAATTTAATATTATTGAACTATTTAATACACGTATAATACAAATAAGATTAAATTTCATCCCTCTTGCTCTAATTCTAGATATAAATTTATGGTAAACACAAGAATTTTTATTTTTCATTACTTTTATCAGATTTGTATTTGCTTTGGACATATTTTTCGAAAAATTTAGTGATTATTTGTATAATGTCAAAAAATATTACTGATTTTTTTTTTTATTTATCATACACAATTGCATTAAATTTTATTTGAATATTTTCATACATTTGAATTAGGCTGAAATCGTAAGGAAATATTAGGACTGATAAAAGTATTTAAAATAAATATTGATTTATCTATATCTACAAAGACATAACTGGATAAAACGATGCAATCTGATAATGTAATAATCATACCCGCGCGCGCACCAAGCGACATACACACACACACACCCACACGCTCACGTGTGTATGCATGAATGTACGTATGTATAAAAGTACAATACGATGTATTCTTATGTATACATGTGTATGTGTATATGAAAAAACTAAGGTAGATAATTTGAAATAAGTAAGCAGTGCAGCCATAGACAGCAACGGTTACGGTTCTCTGTATTACATTTATCGCACAATTTATCAAAAAATACCGCGCAGTACGTTTAGAAAGTTACAATCACGTGAATGTATAAACTGAATTATTCGCAAAAATGTATTCTAAAACATTTCATAGTAAAATACTTCACCATTTATTCCGTAGATTTTTCAGGTAATAATTAAATTGCTACATACATCAGTAGTATAGCTACATATCATTATTTAGAGGGTAGTAATATGCACTGATAGAGAATCGATATAGCATTGTACTATATACGATAATTCATATATAATATAAAATTATGTAGTACTATGCTATATTATTGTGATACATTAATGTTTTAAATTTAACATAATATTCTTATATTAAATATTGAACTATATTTGAGTATTTAGTAATCCAATGCATAATATTAAACGTTTATTTCTTTTTATCTATGATTATTTAATATATGAATAATTAACAATTTAAAAAAAAAAATCAGTAAATCATATATAAACACAAAACATTCCTATGTTATATTTATTTTTCTGTTTTAATAAACAATTTTTTTCAATTATTCGATATAAAAAACTAAGAATTTTTATGTATACTAATTATTATTTTTTTACATTTTGATATTAGTGATTGAAACTTAAAAGTATAATATAGTTATGTAATGAATGTATATGTTATTTTAAAATTTAATTTAAAAAAAACATTCCAAAAACGATCTTTCTCAAACATTACAATTTTAGAAAAGATTAAAATATAAAATATATATGGAAATATTACAAATGTGATTATTTTGTTTTAATTTTGCAATTAAAAAGAAATTTAACGTATAAAATAAAATGTCTTTTTATATACTACAATTATTTTTTGAATGTTGCAAAGTATTATTCTATTATATTGATTAATTATATCAATTTTTAGAAATAAATTCAATTAAATAAATCAATTTCCATTTTTCTTTATTATTCAGTTTTATTAACTGTTAAAGTATTCAAATATTTATTTTTTAAACTATAATAGAAATATAAGCAATCTATATTTAATATGGTGTGATAGATATATTAAATACAAGATTATGTAGTAATCCAACGATCTCTGACTGGGGGATGGTGAAGGTTCGGTTAAGTTCGGTTTTATAGCCGAATTCATCCGAAAGCTATATTTCGCTGGCTACCTTCACCATGGGTGTTTTCACCTCTCCGTCGGTTTCTCGTGATAAGTTTGTTCGTCTGTCGCGTTTATTCTCGAGATAAATAAATTTTAGATGTGTCTTAAAATACTATACGGAGTACGTTCATTTCGTAATTGTACTTTTTGACGATAAATTGGGTGTGTGTTTTATTCTTCGATGTTCTCAGTATCGCACATGTGAAAATTAGAATTTTGACGGATCTGATTTAATGCAATGGCGACGTTACTTTCCATTATGTTGTCCACGTTTCTTTTAACCATTGGTTATTATTGTGCCTCTAAAAATTCTTATAACTATTTATTGTTAGTGTTAAAAAACTAACGATAGAAAAAGAATGATTTTTCGGTGTAAGGGAATTTATATTGTTCCTGGATATTGTAATGAACCGGTGGAACAAGTTCAAATCGAGCGGGCTCTGTTATCCATATACAATTAATATTTCTTTTAATTTTCGTTGCATTGTATTGAAATTTTTATACAATGTATTTCTTTAAATATTTCTTAAAATAATATTATTTAATTAATAATCATTATTCCCTAACAAATTCATAACAAGAGAAATATTAGGAGTGCTTATTTAAAATAAGAATTTGGGTTTTATTTGTTATTTCTTATACCCTTAAATCACACACTTTTCTTTTAATTTTATGCACTTTGAGTTTTTTAAATTTTATATTTTTATATTATTTATTATTTATTTGTAAAAGCAAGATATGTTTATATAAATATTAACATAAATTAATCAAAAATGATCTAAGCGTAATAAAATGTTCGAAATAATACTTTTTATACACTTTCGGTTCTAATTTTTAAATTAATTTTTTAACAATTCGTTAAAACATGATACATTTTGGAATTTTAAACAATTTTAGAAAAGTTAAAAAATTTGTATTTAATTTTTCTTAGATTTTTTCATTTAAAAATTGAATATTCCTAGCACGAATTAGATTTATTATTATTTTTTAATTGTTGCTTTTATTTTTTATTTTTATATTTAAGAGATGAATTGTTCAATAAAATAATTTTGATGGTAAATAAACGTTATTGGCATTAATAAAATAATACTATTAATATTGTTGCAAGTAGCATTGAATAACAATAAATGCTAATAATGAAATTGGTGATTTGTAACCTAACCTGAATTACAAAAGGGCCATATTATGACGTCAAGCTTGGATCAGCGCGAACTCGACGAAAATGCGTATACTAATAGAGCATATCCCTGTTTTGTGTTACTGTTATATAGTGACGCGATGAAGTGTCATCGTTATAAGTGACTATTCTATTAAATGTTCGTATTTATTATTTGTATTCTTTGGTAAAACCTTTAGATAATGATAAGTGTTCAATGTTTATTATACTAGATATCGACGAAAGAATTGCAAGTTTCTTGAGAAGAAGAAGAGAAGCTTCGAGAAAAAAGTTGCCGATTTTACGAATTATATCGCATTTTAAGAACTTATATGCATTTTACTGTGTTTCTTAGTGATCTTTATTCAAACGTTTTAAAAACCAAAGTGTTCATTTTATACATTTACATTACACTTAATGAACGGACCTATAGATGTATGAGAAGTTTTAAAATCATATTACAAATTGCATTGCGAAATGTGTGTTATGAAAATTTTATATTTACATCATCATACCTCAATATTCATGCAACAGGATCAAACATAAAAACATTAGAAGGACATTTGTAAAAAGAATTTATATATTTCATGACTCAGTGACAGTGAATTTGATATCGGACAAATTTGAAACTACATACAAAAAATGGGTAATTGTTTCAGCAGTCCAACAGATACAGAAAAAGAAAAGCCTGATAGAATAGGCAACCCTAATATAGAGGCAATTGCATCTCAAGCTAGTCCAGTGCCAACACCACCTCCAGATCCTATTAGGCCTATGCCACAGATTCCAGATGCGGATGTGCCAACTGCAAAGATTTTTGTTGCACTTTATGATTATGATGCACGTACAGATGAAGATTTAAGCTTCAGGAAAGGTGAACATTTAGAAATCTTAAATGATACTCAAGGAGATTGGTGGTTAGCTAGAAGTAAAAGAACTCGACAAGAAGGATATATTCCCAGCAATTATGTTGCAAAATTAAAATCTATAGAAGCAGAACCGTAAGTTATATTTTTACCAATATTTACATTTATTTTTTAAAACATTTCTTTTTTAATGCATATGTATATATTTGAAATTTATGTGTATATTTTGTAATAGAAAATTTGTATTAAATAATTTTATAATAATATTAACTAAAAATTAGTACTTTTATTGCAATAAATATGAATTAATAACTAATGAATACTCATATAAATTTAACAAGCTTGCATTCAGAATGCATATCATATAAAAGTTTACAGTTATATATTCATTTAAAATATATTTGAGATTAATACATACATAGGATATTATATAAAATATATTACAATTATGGCATAATGATTGAAACAATATAAAAAATATTAATTTATTTATTTTTACTTGTTATATTTTTATCTAATGAATTTTCCTCAGTTATAGTCAAGTAGTTAATGTGACCTTGCTTTCACTAACAGTACATGTATTGACTCTTAGGTTTTATTAATATGGGTGGGCAGTTCTGACTATCAATTAGTTTAGATAAGCAGTGCTTCCTTTTGCTTCTTCCTGCATAATAATAAAAACATTGAGAAACAATATTTTATCTTTTTTTTTTCAATAATGAGATATTTTCTTAATAAATAAAATATATAAAAATAATATTTAATAATTTTGGTTATTA